TATGAAGGATATGGAGTAACTCCAGTTACATAGTGTAGTAAACCACATAATTGGCTCCATTGAATCCTTCTAAATTAGTTTTGGAAATTATGAACTCTTTTGAGGATTTGCAAACATTTCTGTGTCTTGGTGATTGAGGAGCAGACTTTCTGGTAATTCATCATTAAGACTTACTTTCTTCATCTCTAATAACTATTGATTTGTCCATTGGCAAGTTGATGTGGGATCTGCAGACAAGATTAGAATTCAGAAGGGCTGTGATATGTTGAATGGATGATCTAAATGAGAACAAACTATCATTTGGTGTGGACAAATACACATTCTACATGTATGTGCCAGTACTCAACTGCATAAACATAGGAATGGAATCTTCTGGTTAGGTAGCTATATTGCGGGGAAAGCTATCTTTATTTTTTTTGGAAACATGCTCAAAAAAAGGTGGAGAGTCTGGAACTGAGCATTGGGAATGATCCTATAGCTTCAAATGTACAATATGTGAAGAAAGACTGGCATTTTCCATGGAATGTCTACTATGGAACTGTAGGGCAGGAAAGAACACTAGAAAGAGGTGGCGCAGTCTGCTCACCATATCCATGAGGTGAAAATCAAGTGCGTTAGACTGCAGCAAGGGAGAGTGAGGTTAGACAGCCGCTTTTGAGCTGTGTGGGTAGTAGGTTGTATAAGTTGTCTACAAACACACTAGGAATGATTTATATGTACTCAATATTACCATCTGGGTTATCTGACTGCCTTCCCATCCTTCTCTTCTATAGCTCTTACAGAAGAGTGGAGTAGATAAGGAGAGTATGATACTATGGCATACTAGGAATTTAACAGTGTGAGACCTGAAATAGATGGCAAGATGGCCATGTTTTCATTCTTTTTTGCAGGTGCCTAACAGCAGCTGGAAACCACAGACTTCCTCTTTTCTACACTTGGAGCCACTGGTTAGCTGTGTACCCCATTGCTATTCACAGGAAGTAAGCCAGCTTTGCAGACTTCCTGCAGGAAGCTATTTAATTATACCTTCTACCTACTTGCCTGATACAGAAGGCGATTTTACAGTGGTCATAGCAACCAAAATAGACAGGTAAAAATCTCTTGCCTTCTATTTGCATTTCTAGTATTTTTAACGTGTGTATTACAGGATGCCTGAAAACAGTAACTGTAGTAACATGTTATTTGACAGAAAATATATGTATTTTTTTAGGCTTTATTGCTGTTGTAAGCATTGTTTACCACTTTGATCATTGGAAGAATGACTAAAAAAGAGAAGCTTTTTGCTAATCTTCTTGCATCAGTTGCTGAGTAACAGATGTCTACTGCTGGAGAAAATGGCACTAAAGCAACTAATTACCAGCTATATCTGGATGTTAGAATTTATGCTGAAGTTTCACTAAGCTTTTTAATAAACAGGGTTGTTTTAGAGAAAATGCAAGGAGTAGCAGGACCTTATTTCAGATAGTTCCTCACAATATGAATAACAACAGGTCTGAATCGGAAGCTGTAAATTCCATAAGATTGTAGTGAGATTCCATGAGGGAGAGGATGTGGAGCAAAGCCTAGTATAACAGTCTTCTCTTTTTGAAGTGAGGTTAGGATTGGTGTTTACAAGATCCCCCAATGCTTTGTGCACAAATAAGTGTGGTCTTGGTTTCCAACAGGAAGCGCATTCACAGCCGGGAGACACTTGGACAAGTATTGCAAGAAGTAAGTGATATATTTTTAATTTCAGTTGTTCTAAAAGTGTTGCTGAGGTACCCTTGAGGCTTATGTATTAACTAATATTGAGAGTCAAGTACTAGTGGACTGGACTTTGAATGTTCTTTCTTACTTGCTGCAAACCGATAATCAGTAAAGCAGTTAACATTTGGGTTTTTGTTTTTCAGCCAGAAAGGTAGCATTTATTAGCAGCTAACAAAGTTTTGTCTTTTCATACCATTCAGATATCTGGAAGCTTCTGTATAACTATTTTTATAAAGTCATTATTTATCCCTCGAGTCATTCCTCAGTACCTACCTCTGCTGTAATGTCTGTGAGAAATTGACTGTTAGTCCTGAGTAGTGGTGCAGTAGTCTTACTTGACTTTTGCTTTCAAGAGTGTAAACACTATCTGTGTATTTGGGTATATTTTGATGTATTCATTCTCCATGTCACCACAGACCTGCTAGCCTTAATTATATATTGTATTCTTCATCTGATTTGATTTGATATTAATTTGGGATTCTATGTATTGTGATCTAGAAATTCTAATGATATTATAATGTTATAAAGACTTGAGAAAACACAGCAAAAAGAGAAGAAAAGCAAGCAGGCAACCCAGAGACTGGGTTTCACCACACTAGAGTTTAGGGGTTTTTTTTTTGCTTCTTTACAGCCAGCCCATACAGTATCCTCTCATTACAATCCTTCTTTGCGTGCAGGCTGTTTGGATCAAGTTAATGCCACCTATTTAATATTTTGGTATTTCATTTTGCTTGTGATTAGATATACATGCAGTATTGAAGGGTTAGATGTGAATGCTGAGTACCTAATACTTAAGGTGTTTTTACTGGGTGGAGAGGAGAATTTAATTATTTCAACAGTTGTTTAGAGATATTTGATTTGGTTGGCGGATCAAAGCAAGCCCTTGGTAATATTTTGCTTATTAAGTGAGAACAAGACCATCTAGATACTTGGCCCTTTCCTTTGAAAAGAGAAACTCTTAGCAAAAACCTCTTCACCCAATATTAGAACTGGTTGACTAATTTTCTTAATCTAGGTCATGTTAACCAATGATTACATTTTGTCCTTAAACCCTAAAAAACAATATGGAATTTGGGTGCTTCACAAAAATGGACAAAGACCTGTATGTACTTTCCTCATGGTGCTTGTCATTTTAATATTTAGAAGCTGAAGTATATAATGAAGTCCTTTATTGCTGCTGTTTCGGAAACAAAACATTGCAGAACCGTTATTACAGAAGGAATATATTCAAAGATGCGTTTCTTATATTAGTCCATGAAAACGGTTGGACTTGGGCAAAGGGTTCTCCCTGACGTCAAGGGAACAAACCATTTAGAGTCTTCAGGACTTGAAAACTGGAGGAATTTGGAAATGGAAGGTACAGGTTTCTTATCAGTGGCAGAAATTAATGTCTGAATCTAATTTTCAGCACCATTGGCTCTTCTAAAGAAGATAGGAATTATGAGTTTTAGTTTTTTAAGATATTTCACAGGAGAAGCTTTCATTGTGTCTTTAACTTCTAAATCTTTATTTTCTCTGATCTACTTTAATTCTTTATTAATGTCTTCTCTTTCTTGACAAAAAAGGCTAACTCATGAAATATTTTTTTTTCCCCTGCACTGTTCATTTTCTTACAGGTTTCATTTACAACTGTGATGAAAAGGTAACGTGTAATTCTCCCACTGTTATTTTGAGAAACACCAGAAGGCGCAGGAATTCCTCACCTCTTGCTGTTTTCAGTTCTCAGTGGATTAGCAAGAAGAGACTCTTACCCCAGCTGTTTTCACTGGTACCAACTGTCAGGCCTAAGGCAACTTCTTTGTAGAAATACCTCCTTAATCTTGTACACTCTGAATATTTGTTCCTCCCATGTTTTTTAGAACCAGCATTGTACAGCAAATTGTAATGTACCTCAGTTTTTGAAAAACACAAGTGAAGAATATGTGCATGTTTTAATCCAAACTACAAGTTTTGGAAGAAAACCAGGAAATGTATGTGCATAATGAAATAATACTTTTTTTGGGGAAAAAAATAAAAATCCAGCTTACAGAGTAACTTCAAGAGACCAAAGGGGTGAACACAGATGAAAGAAACTGGAGTCTTTTTCAGGTAGGACATACCTCAAGAACCCCAAAATACACTGGGATAGAGAAAGTCCAAGCTTGTATCCTACACTGCCAGTCACGTCGCTGAGCACTTTATCATGGGTCCTTTATCGAACTGTGCAAATGGTGGGTTGAAAAGGAAGATTTCCTTGGCGAGTTTGCTTTAGTGAACACCACAAAGGAAAAAGATAAGACTTGAAAACTTTTGTTTATGGACTGTCACATCAGACTGCTTTTGTAAATCTGTAAGAATGTGTTTTATGCAAGATCTTCCCCTCCCCGCTGCCCCCTGTAAGAAATACAATGTTTAAGAGATTTTTCTTAATTTATGGTTGAAAGTGTCTCTTATTCAAGGAGATTTTTTTTAAATGTTATATTTTCTTCAATAAAAATTGAATAACATTGGAAATTTTAAAATGTCTTTTATGAAAAAGCAAAACTCTCAATGATTTCAAGTCTGCATTTGTTCTGCAGTAGCAAACTTTACAGTGTGATGGAGCCCTGGGGTTTTCATCAAGTGGAAGGGAATGACTGGAAATATCTGAGAGGAGAATACAGTCTCCATTAATTTTGTGTCTGAGAAATATGTAAAATTCTACTTCTGATATTAACTGTAGCCTACCATCATTTATGCTTGCTCCTCTTGAACATTGAAGAGTAAAAGCATCTAAGAAGCTTGCAGCTGAATTCTAAGTAGTCAGAACTTTCCACACCTATTGTGGAATGATGAGACAACAAAAGAAAACACTGTAATAAATCCCTATTGTGCCTGCTTTAACAAATGTTGGCACCTCTGTTTATTTTCGTAATTTCTTGAAAGGATGTTTCTTTCCCTTCAGATAGGAAATTACTGGAAGAAGGCAAAGCTCATGAAAGAGCCTGTGTCTGAGAGTTGTCACAAAGTAGGAATCAGATGCTGAGGAAGTTAAGAAAAAAAAGTGCAAGGATTTCTAAACGGGCTATGATTAAAAGAGGCCCCTTTGTGCAATCATTTATGCATGTATGAAGTTTATACCTCAATATATGGTATAAACTCCTTTATGGGAGTCTGAAGGAAAAGGAGTCAACACTAAGTGTGAGAGGTAAATGCAAAAGGATGTAAGGAAAGACCTTCTGAGAACACAGAAGAGTAACAGCATAATGAAGAAATGTTTATTTACTTTTAAACTCTCAAATCCTGTGTCTAATTCATTGCTACCATGAGTGTGAAAATCCATTTGTTTGATAACATATTATTGTGGTCATGGATATGCCTATGATTATATGAGCTTTGGCAAGTACACTTATTTTAATTTCAAGAAGTTCAGCTACATATCAGTCCTAAGTAAAACTGCTCCATAGTAATTTGCTATGCTGAGCCACTTACATTTGAATACACTTGAGATAGTGGTACGTGTTTTTAAAGTATCTGCGATTACTGACTGATTGAAGTCTCTCTGCATTGTAGCGTGTTGCAGATTAGCGTGGAATAGCACAGAGTTTATATGGATGTGGCTGCAGTATTGCACCTAAAATGTACTCCAGATTGATTTCCTTTACTCCCTCAGGGAGCTGGAATTTGAATGCCCGAAGGAGGTTGGTAAAGAAGATGAACAATTCAACTCGTGCCATCTGTTCCCCCAAACATACACGGTGCCCTGCAGAAGAAAGGGAAAAAGAGTTAGTTGTATACAGTCAAATTCTGGAAAAAAACCTTAGAACAAAATTCTACTGAGTTCCGTGAATACTGTTAATGTATGATAGTTATTTCCCATTTACTTCTGTAAGGACAGCAAATGCTTTTGGAGGTGCGGGGAGACATGTATTTAACTGAGAAACTGTACATCTCTAATTATATCAGTCTTTTGGTTTGGGTATTTTTTGCTCCTACTACACTTTACCTCCTCCAGAGCATAAATGAGGTTCTCCCTTTCCATTTGTGCTTCTTGTTCTGTAAGCGCCATGAATTACTGCTCAGTTAAGCCAGGTTTTAAAAGGCTTCATATATTTCAGTGTCTTGTCTTTGGTTCTTGAGGAAGGAGGACTGGAGCATTGTTGGGTACAATTCTGAAGCTAAGAAGACGGGTGTGATCAGGTTTTCTTCAACAGAAATTAAGGTAACTACACTGGATCCTTGTAGCCAAGTATCTCTAACACTGTCTGGGGCAGATATGTAAGTTAAAGGAATGAAATGTAGGTGTTTGCAGTGATGACTCAGTGACTCATTTTGGCATACTGTTTTCACAGTGTATTTCAGTATGTGTGTGTGTATGTATATATTCCAGACTAAAAAATAAAATATACGTATTTAGGGTAGATAAATATTCAGGTTAGATAAACATAAAACTACCAAAACAAGTTAAAAAAGAAAACTTCCTATGCTAGGTTGAAATGGTAGCCTAAGTCAGTTGTCTTGATTCATGTAAACTGGTGGACATTTGTGAGTAAAGGAGGTAAGATGCTAAGTACCTGCCTTGCAAACAGATTTTAGAATTTGCAGCCAATTTGGGCAGATGGTTTTAAAATGTGGTTTTACTATGTTTAATTTGACCTCTTAAATTAGTTAGTATACTATTTACTTTTTATCTACAACAAATGTATAATAGTATAATCTGTCACAGTAACAAAAAAATCTCATCTGTTTCCCAGTGGTTTTATTTTTAGATTTTTATACTTTATTTTCCAGTAAATAATGCCAGCTTCCTGCTTTGTGCTGCTTTTCCTCATAATCTGTTTATTGGAGAAACTGGTTGTCTAGAGAAGCCCTCTGAGTTATGTTTTATACTGCTTTTCATATTTCCTAATGACCCATGTCTTTGAATCACTACCTTTTGGGTTGTAAATAAGGTAAGTTTTACATCATAATGTGCTTTTTAAAAGTTAGAATTATTTTTTTGTAATTGGCTTATATTCTTGTGATAAGATTGGATTTAGCTAGTTTTCTGGAGTTACAAGAGAATGTGCTGCCAGACTAATACTGTTGGATTTGGGAGACTGAGTTTTGGTTTTCTGCTTTATCACACATTTTCTTCGTCTACTTTGACAAGTCAACTTACTTTTGTCTTTGGGTTTCCTGTTTGTAAGGTGAGAATAAATCAATTTTATGATTTGAGAACTTAATGCATTAGGAATTAAGGACCTCAAATACCTTTAGGGTAGAAATCATACATACACCTTGGAAAAAGCATAATGTCCTGTAGCCATACTCATATTCTGTTTGAATGTATGAAAAATAAAATGGAAGATAATATTTGTGGCTCTTACAGTACAACTACTGACTTTAAATCTTTGTGTCAAATATTTTTTCATAAAAGTATGTTTTTAAAGTTTTAGAATTCAGAAATAGTGTGTCGGTCTTGCTGCACGACACAGCAAACAGGAATACACAAGCATCTTACCTGCTGAGAAAGGTAAGAATGCTTCTTTGTTCACAAAGTTGCCATCCAAATCAAGGAAGTGGTTTGGGTTGAACTTCCAAGGGGTCGCCCAGTGCTCAGAGTCATACACAACAGAGTGCAGGTTTGGCAGTACAAGTGTGCCCTGCAAGAAGAAGCAGAGATTATATTTTTCATGTACATTTTTTTTTACTTTTCTCTAATAGATAATACACCATCCTGTGCCTGCAGCCCAGTGTTTGCATGCAGCTCATTCTTTTCTTGTGCACATTCAGGCATGACAAACTCTTGTATCTTCTGTTTGTCATAACGTATTAGGTGTTTGCCTTTGTATAAGTTATTTTCTGTCAGGATTCCTGAAAGTGTCTTCATGTCTAATCTAGAGGGAGCTTGGATCATTTTGCATACTTGGCAGACTGATCATAACACCTTGCTTTTTGGAAGGATTTTTCAATCCCATCACATGAATTCTGTGCTTAATATGTTTGGGACATTCATATCATGCCAATGTGACTGTCAGATGTATTGCTGCCATGTTAAGCATGTGGAGCTTTTGTGTATGTGTTTTTGTTTTGTTAGGGATGACAGTAGGTTACTCCAAGCTGTTCTCTTATGTGTGAAAGTTAGCTTGCTTGACGTTCATTAGTCCTCATTTCTTCATCATTCCTTCAAACGCGTGTTCAGCTTTAGTACTCAGACATCATCCATATTTGACTACTGAGAAGAAAGACTTGAGTTCTCCCTATGTTTGCTACTTGTGCTGTTAGCTTTTCCCCAAGATTCCTTTTACATCTGCTAATGTAGATTTAGCCTTGGTTCAAAGCACTCAGCTTTGTTTTGTGTCTGTGACATGCTACCACTGTGCTCTATACAAAGTTAGGATTTACAGAAGCTAATGTCATGTAAATAGTAAATATTAATAGCCTAAAGCTTAAAGAAGCATGGAGGTATGCTCTGTACCTTCTTAATGTGAAAACCCAGCAAAGTTGTATTCCTCACGCATTGTCGAGGGACCCCAACAGAAGTAACATTGCTGTACCGCAAAGCCTCGTGAATCACAGCATTTGTATACGGGAGTTTCTTGCGGTCTTCATAACTGATGAGATGGGAGGGCTCCAGAACAGCCTCTATCTCTCTTTGAACCTTTTCTGCAGAGAAATGAAAATATTTTAACTTCCTCCCTGCCACCTTTTCCAGCAGATTTCTGTATGAGTATGCCTAGGAAGAAAAAATAAATTATGTTGCTCTGTTGGGTTTAGTTGATCAAGAAAGTGTGTATCCCCAAACCACAGCTGATTTCTCATTTAAGACACATCTTACTTGGTGATGACAATAATACCGTCCTATGTTCAGAAAAAAAAGATTAAAATTTGAAATTACAGGTCTAATTTATGATATGTTTATAAATACACATAAGAGATGCTTTTTTAAAGCTTTTCCACATTGAATGTTAGGAAGAGACTATGAAATGTCTTTAGCTTGTTATTCTGTCTTTGCCATCCCCTTCTACTGTGATAAAACAGTGGCTGCTACCAATACTAATTTGTGCTAGTGTTGCCTCAATGAACTAATGGGGAAAGCACATTTGTTTCATTTTCTGTATTTTAATTCTTGATGTACCACCATTCATGTTAATTGTTAAGGGTGATTTTGATTTACTGCATGTGGCTGAGCTAGTACTTAAATCATAATGAACATAATTCATTATTATAATGGTGAATGCGGTGTTTTCTGGTAATGCTTTTGCTCACCTTGTATTTCTGGGTATTGTATCATATAGAGCAGTGCCCAGAGAAGGGTAGTACTTGTTGTTTCTGTCCCTCCAAGCAAAAGATCAACTACAGTCTGCACCATATTATCTTTATTAAATGTAGAAGTAGGGTCGTCTTTAGTCTGTAGAGTATATTCATAGGATTATGAAGTGGGTAATTTCAGACATTTTATCATTCACATAGAAATTGTCATTATTTGATGAAAACAATGAGCAGCCCTTAAAAAATAAGTTAATTGCTAAACACATAAAGCATGCATATAAAAATTCTGTAGCAGTTACTTGAACAGCAGGTATGTGTAGGCCAAGGAGAGGGGAGAGTGCAATTAACAGATACTTACTTTTATTATTTGAGCTAGGTAGAAGTCGATGAGATCCTGTGAAACACCTGTTTTTTGTCTCTCATGAGCTTGGACCTCCTTCATAACTAAATGGTGCATGAAGTCATTGTATGCAAACACTTTCTGATGAGGTCCTGGGAGGTGGTGCATAAGCCATGGGAAAGCATCATACATCTGTGATTTTAAACAAAAGGGAAGAAACAAGAGCTCTTATAAACTGACAACCCAATTCTGATTTCCTGATAAGTCTCTGAAGTCACCGCCACACGTGGACTCCTAATTAGGATGAGAGGCAATAGACACTAGTCAGAAAGATATTAAGTGTTAGCAACAGGTTTCTCGGAGTCTTTGGGAAATCTCTGTCTTTGGAGACTTGTGAGTTGATCAGAGGAGTCCCTAAAAAAAATCTGATCTAATTAAGCCTGCTTTGATAATGACATTAGATTAGCTAATGTGCAGAGGCCCTTTACGTTGTAAATTATTCTACATTTGTAAGAGGAATTATGAAAGCTTTACATTGCCCTCTACTTGAGCTTAGAAAACTTGTCTGGTATTTGTTGATGAGCTATTAAGAATATGCAGTGGTCAAAATTGTTGTGATCAAGTTGTCAATATTCAATAACCATAATTTCTTTCTTTAATATGTAAATTGAAGATTGAAGAAGCTGACTTGACCTCTCAGAAGACTTTCCTCCAGGAGAAACTGGCATATGTATATTTTAAGCATCTTTGTTTAATAAACATCAGTTCCTAGGTCTACTAGCAGAGCCTTTGTTTTACTTATGGTCTGTGATGAGGGATGTATTGGCCAGTGCAGACTTCTTCATTCCCATCAGGTAACCAAAATATCAACATCATATAATAGTGGATATCAGGTCACAGGGAAGCAGGCGAATGATTTTACTTTTTGGATGCATATCTGATAATGCAACACGAGCTTCTGAAAATGGGTGAATTGGAGTAATTGAAGTGAATCTGGCTCACAAGCAGATTTTATCAACCTTGATTTTTACTCTGATGTATTATTTTATTTTTCCTAAGACATCTCTCTATGGAAGCATTAGAGATCCTGGTAGTGTTATGGAATGTTGGTGTGTCAAAATCTGCACAACATAATAGCTAGGCTTTCAAGAACTTAAAAATATTCTTCTTCATGTGATGAAATTGTCACCTTTATCTTACAGGAAGCTCACATCTTGGTGGTAATATGAATTACACAAGAAGCAAGATGTCTTCTGAAAAGAATAGGGCTGTAAAGCCTTAGTTCTTTTTAGCTGGACTTCTGTATTCTTCAGACTAAGTGAAAATAAATTTTAAAAGTTGTTGTCTTATTAAGGTTTAAGAATCTTACATACATACTACCTGCAAATGATTACTTGTTTGAAATACATTATATATTTTGGAAATTAGTGAAAACCAGCAGTGATCTAGAATTTGAATTTAAGGACACAAGATTGACTGAGGTAAAGGAGGAATATAAGGCAGTTATGACATATACAAGGTACTACACAGTGGCTCACAGAACAAGGGTATGAAAATGTCTGGTAATCATCTTCTAGTTTGTTTGTTTCAACTTGTTAAGTGCAAATGCACTTTAAGGAGTAAGAATGAGAAAATGAAAATCTTACCCTGCCCCAGATAGTAGCTTGAAAGTAGATCACAGAATAAACAGCTTTGATAAGTTTGCTGAAAGATTCATCCTCACTGGAGAAGCGGTGACCAAAGACAACAGCACAAATTATATTTGCAATAGCCTGGACAATGACAGTGTGGGGGTCGAAAGGTTTGCCTGTGAATACAGGAGGTACCATGAATACTGATGCACAGTGAGAAAAAGTAGACCAGACTACTTTTAGATAAATTTCACAGAAGTAAACTTTAGTAGAATTAGTTTAATACAAATTGTATAGATTGTAAGAGCAGGGAATCTTTGTTTTCAGTCTGCTTTTTACTCTTGTAGAATACAGTGGTTATCAGTTTTGAGAAGACAAACAGTGGGTCTCTTTGACTTGTGGTCTGGGTTGTGTGGAAACACAATTAATTAGAGCATATGGCTTCAAATCTGAAGGTAGGTATTTTAAGTTTGGCCATTAAAAAAAAGAGATCAAACATTCGCCTCCCAACCCCAAACAAAAAAAACCAAACAAAAACAATTTGAAAGTTTTAATTTCTTAGACATGTTGAAATGACTTCTCTCATTCTGGTTTTCAAGTACAGCTTAACAGTTCAACTACATATATTTCCACACACAGCCCTCCCCCCAACTTGACTGAAAAGGCAAAATCAAAAAGGGTTAAATCCAGAAAAAATGAAATTAAGTACACATTTAAATGGCAAGGACAACCTTTGAATTTTGTATTATGGATTTCTGACTTCAGTCTAATGCTTGTAGTCTTTCTGGGAGAGTAATATGATTACTGGGTCTAAAATTGAGGAAGGGTTGCACGGAAGGTAAAGATTTAGGCTGTGTAGGGACTCGATTCGATGGTTTGTTCATCTTGTACATTTTAAAGATCTGGGAATATGTTGCTCTTAGAATAGAAGTGGGCCATTTTGCTGTGTCTAGTGCAAGGAGAGCTGGAGAGAGACCTTAGGCAACTTCTCTGTGTTTTCACGTCAGTGTGGAACATGATGTCCTGAAGGATTTGGCTGTTTGGAATATTTACATTTAATTGCCTTATTTTGACATCATGCTAAAATTCTATTGGTTTCTATTTCAGTCAAACCTTAAAAAGAATTTTTGTTGGACAGCTGAATGATACATTCCTTGCATTGGGGTTCTTCCTCTGCCAAATCCTAAAGTCCTGCTGTCCTAGAATGATTCGCAGCAGGTCACAAGTTGTGTATTTTATGGAGAACAACATAAGGTTTTTCTGTACTCCTGAAACGTAGGAATTTTCACCAGCTGTTACCAAGACTGTGTTGATAATAAACATTTTTTCACTATCCTTATTTCAAAAAATAATTTTATGCTGCCCGCTGCGCAGACAAAACATTTTTTGTTTGTTTTTTGAAAGAATGCATTTAAGAAGCTGGTGAAAGTTCCACTAATATGAAAACTATCTATTACTTGTCAAAATCTACTATATTTCAGAAAAAGCATGAAGTGTTGGTTTTCTAGTGAATTTACCTTTCGTGTTTGCAAAGATGTCCACGAGGTGACAGGCCTCTGCTTGAATTTGGTGCTCCAGATTGTTCTTACCAAGTGCCAGAGTTCTTATAATGGTCATGCCAAAGCGTCTCTGTTGCTTCCAGGTGTGCCCACTTGTCAAAAAAATACCTGAAGAACACAGAAACATTAATTTCATTGCTGGGAAGGGAAATCCTTTCATGAAGGAGGCAAAATTTGATTTGGGTTATATCTCATTAACAAAGAAGACACCGTGATTTCAGATACTGACTTTTGGTTTCTACATCAGTTTTTATGACTGCCAGGTTGCTCATAAATGTGATCCTGGAAGATGAGTGGTAGTCAGTTTTGGTAAGGACAGGTCAGCTTTGTCTATAGATGTGTTCTGATTTAGAAGTGATACAACTGAAAGGCATCTTCTCTAGTTAAATATTCCTTTGAATCTATTGGAAAGAAAAAAAGTCAGTAGTATCCTTTATAAGAGGAGAAATTCTTGTTTTTTTCTTTTACTATGCTAGCTCTGCATAGAGCTTTTTTTACTTTGTAAGCCCCGTGATGTACTTGTATAGCAGTAACTCATGAACATGTGCATGTATAGGAAAGCTTCTTTATTCTTTACATCTTGTTTGTATTTCAGTATTTTGGGACATCTTGTACCTTTCTCACCCATCATATCCCTGTAGAACGGGGTGAGAGGTCTTCCAGAAACTTCCTCGGAATGGGTGATGATGCCATCTTTTACTGCTTTGTACCCGTTTAGTACAACCATAGGTGTCTGTCCCATCCACAATGTGTAGATGCTTCCATAGATGTTGGTTAACTGAAGAGTTAATAACAGTAAATTAATAAGTATAAACAAGGAATGCATAGATTTAAGTACTTATTTTAAAGAGTTTTCTGTAATTGTAACCAAGCCCATTTGTCCTTATTGAGTTGAATTACAAGTTTGAGAAAAAATTTACTGTTCTGTTGTGATGTGCTTTGGGAATAGAAGATAATTGTGGAATAAAGACGGAGGACATCTCTCAGGAGACAACCTCTGAAAATTTCACAGAAAGAGAAACAGAGGTCTTCTCTGACAGCTCAGAATCAAAGAACAAATCAATACAGAGCTTTTCTGTTTATTAGATTTTTCTTGCCTCTAGCTTCTGAAGAAAGCAAAGAAATTGTTTTGCATTCTTTCCTGTAGCTTCTATGTGTTTTTTCACATTTTTCTCTATTGTCTTTCTTCAGATCATGCTTGCGTTTTTCCTTAAAATAGATCCTTAAAAGTTCCTTACTTTTAAAAATAATTTAAATTGGCTTATAAAGCAATCATGCTGTGAACATAACAGCAACAACATTTTCCTTCTTGTTTTTTTGGTAATAATCTGTTTACTGAAGATAATCTGTTTGCTGTACAAATTAAAAAAAAAAAAAAAAGAAAATGTCAGTTTTGAGTATATGTTTGGTTTTCTAATGGAGATGGAACCAGTGTGGCTTGGAGATGTTTCACTGACACTGGTATCAGACAAAGGAATTTCTTCTAGAGATGATTTACAGGGCTAGGTATCAACACAGAAATAGAGAATGAAACTGTCCATGGAATATCGTGCTATCGACAGTGCTTGTGATAATGTTATGCATGGGTGTTACTGTATCCAAAAGAGAAAGACAATAAGAAGGAGTAAAGCAATTATGGTATTTATCACTCAGAAATACTTTTAATAGTGCAAGGTCCTTGTATTCTTTGAAAGTGGCTGATAATCAAGCTTGAGGTTAAAAAGAAAAAAATCCCAAGTTTAGACTGTTCCTATACAAAGTACAAGTCAAGTTAAAATAGATTCAGACTGAGTTTTTGACCACAGTGATAAATACCTTAGTGAGAGTTTCTCGACGGAGTCTGAAGTTAAGCAGCCACAAGTTTCCAATGATGGGGAGGGGAACTGGTCCTGGAGGAAGCTGGGTGCGCATCCATTGCAGCTTTAGGAACTGCAAAATCAGAAGACACACTACTAGAGGTATAAAAACCTCTGCAATCCCTAACATCTTATTAAAAATTTTGTCACTTTTTAATAAGACCTCCTGTGAAAGTTTGGAGTTGCACAGGTGAGTTTGCTGCTTCTGAAGTTAAACTTTTTTTGTAGAGCCTGTCTGCATTAGCCCTCTCTCTCTTTTTCTGACAATTACAGTTTTCCCAAGCTGAAGTCCTTAGAAAGCTGAAATATGTGATCCTTTGCAGTTAGCCAAAGTCACGCCTACTCTTTTGTATCATCCGTCATTATGAGCTGTTTCTTTTTTCACTTAGATCCAGTATCGACGCTAAGAAGGAAACAAAATTCTAAATGCCAATTATTGAACAGTTACCCAAGGATATAAAGGATATAATGGTAATACCTCATGCAGTTTCCTGTAGTTAAACATTAAAATACCAAGGATATGTGACTTAGTACCTTTCTGAAATACTGCAATTCTTATGTGGTTTCTTTTATAGAAGAAGAAACATCTACACAATGCCTGTTGGTTAGGCTATGGTCTCTGAGGTGAAAAAGAATCGAATTAGTTCAGCTTAAAGCTAAATTAATGCGTTTTTTTGTTTGTTTCCTTTTTTAAAAAAGTGTAAATTTAAGTATTAGACTATCTACTTTCCCATTTTATAGTATTCTAGGTATTATGTGGAACACAAATAAGACATTCTTCAGTGCATTGAATGGTGTTTTCTGAATTCATTTTATTTCTCATGGTAAGGATTCAAATTTGCTGTTGCAAATTTTGGTGGTGAAAAAATGCACAGGTTCTATTTTCTCTGTGGAAAAGAACCAATAAACTGAAGAAAGAGGTGAAACTTCTTATTGATTTGTGGACTCCGCAAGCTTTCCTGGAGATGTTTGTACCAATATGTAGCAAATTTTAACTTAAGAGACTTACTTCCCTGTTAGTCGCTAACTTTGGTATAATCTATGGACTACAGTATGTTGCTTTGAAAGTCTGGGTAATCTCCACCATTGGAAGGCAAGTGGAAGGCAAGTAGAAAGGCAAGTAGAAAAACCACCACCCCAGATTCTGGTGGTTTGGGGCAAGATGGGATTTAGGTAATCTCTTCAGCTTCCTTACAGATTTTTTTTTTTTTTATTTGGGTTAATTGTTACTCCATTGGGACAGGATTTCAGACCTCATCTTTCATTTTACCTACTCCTGTTTGGATGGCAAAGTCTGTTTTTTCCTTGCTTTCAATGTACAAATTGGACATCTTGCTGATTCAGAAGCAAAACAAGTTGCAGCAGTGAAACTGCAGTTAGAGTGCCTCTGTCTGCTAAATGAACTGTCAGGAACCATCTCATTTGGAATTTAGGAGGCAAAGGAAAGAAGATAGATGATTCTCATATATGTGGGATTTCCGAGGTTGAGTCATATTAGTGTGATGGTGCATCAGAATTTAGCCCTAAAAATCATCTTAAAGGTGCCCTGTTTGATTATTTATTGCCCTGTGGTTTTCTATGAATTCTGACTTCGTATGTTTTGTGGGTTTTTTTTTTGCTGTTGTTTTTGTTATTGACTGATACATTAAATTGGAGTTTTCAACACTTTGATCAAGAACTCAGGTAATGTTCTGTGTTCAAGTATATATAGGAAATTAAGGGATTCCTTACAATTGTATAAATTGCCTGTTTTAAAATTTTATCATCATTTCTCTGAGCAGGCTTGCTTGAATTTTCCAGTCTGCAGTTTCCACCTCAAAACTTTTCAGCAAAATCAAGGATATTGATTGGAATGAATGTATGCTATGATCATGAAATATAAAGATTAAGTGCTGTGCATGGGCTTCTTGAAAATTCCTGTAAATTCCCTGAAACTTCAAGCAACCGTCTGAGTGGTACAGGTGTGGACGCTCCTTTCAGTTAGATTTCAAATGAGATTGATTTTGGTTTTTTTGGTGAATTAATAAAGGAAAATTTGTAAAGTACAATCTTGAATTTTTCAGTCTTGAAAAACGTGTAGATGAGCATTTGTCTTTTTTGTGTTAGTGGCTTTTAATAATTTCAGATTCAAACATGAAATACAGGGCAGCTTCAGGGGACTGCAGAGCAGCAGTGGCATTACTGCATTTGCTTGCTTTACTTTTCTGAGCAGCCACCATTCGACTTCTCTGCAGTACCATGCAGCTCTTCTACTTTAGTGGGCTGCATGTGCTGATGCTTTCCAGAAAGTGCAGAACTATCATAGGGCAAGGAGAGTGCCTGTGTGCCTTTTTTATCTGTTCGTCTAGGTTTTGGGGCAAGAAGTGGAAAGAGAAAAGGTTAAGTACTATCATTTTCAGCAGCATGGTTCTATGAATCTTACGCTTGACAAGTTAAATAGGGGAAAAACCCCGAGATTAATTAATTAATTTAAAATTAAATACCTCCTATGGTTTTATCAGCCAATTCTGTCAGTTCCAGGATAACTCTTATGCTATTGAGCAGTCATTTATCCACTCCCTTTTCCAGGTTTTGATGGTATTTGAAACTTTAAAATGAGTTATCTGTTGAAATTATCTAAATGGCTTGCAGCTTGTGTGCACCAGAACTTGATTTTTTCATGTCGTTGCTCACAATGTTGCAGCCTAGATCTGTGTGAGTGGTCTTGCTGCTTTCACGGTAACCCTATCCATCTGCCTGTGGTTTGCTGTCCTAGACCTTTCTGCAGGGTCAGTCTGGTCCTGCTGCGTACGGCTGGGCCTGACAAGAGGCTTAGTCTGAGCCTGGGCTTTTGGACACTGGGCAGTGTGTTTTCTTACTGCTAGCTGAGAGCTGTGGTCATGCTGAAGTAGGGGGAGGGAAAGTTATTTCAGAAAAGTTTAGGATAAAGTTTACAAGAAAAGGAAAAGCAAGAAAGCTGGTTTAGGGTAATGCAGTATTCCTTATTTTAGTATTTTCAGTATATGTGACCAGTAGCTCTTCATATAAATGTTGCTTGGTCTCCTCTGACACAAATACTATTGCAGGAACTCACCAGTCAAGATGACAGATGTTAAGTTTGGTTGTTTTGAACAGATAAGGGAATACACTTTTGTAATGAAGATTTCAGGACATAGGAGTGAAGCAAATGCAACAACTGCATAGGACAGGGAAAGAACATCTTTAGAAGGGTGTGAAGTAAACAAATGATGAGTATGATGTGCTGGAGGTGGCAAAGGCTCCTGGTACACCTCTGCCCAGGCTGTGTGCCACCTGCTAAGTCATAAATACCAGGGTTCGTTTTTTTACCATTATAGAGATGGGCTCAGTGTGTATTGGAAAACACTGGCTGGTTCCCTGCTGCACATGTATTAGTTGGCATGGTAGGGTGTGTGTGCTGCCTGGCCTGATGTCAAGCTAAACAGAGCAGACAATTGCAGAGCAGGGGTTTTTATTGTGTTTTCCTTTGTTTGTTTGGTTTTTTGTTTGTTTTTTTTTGTTTCATTTTGTTTGGTTGTTTTTTGTTTTGTTTTTTATTTTGTTTCTTTCCAGTGGAGACATTAATTAGGAATTAGGATTTCTCAAATTAGCTCTTCCTTCCTTCCCTGCACCCCCCCAGTCTTTCAAGAGATTCGTAATAGGAGCTGTCAATTGGTGGTCTCTCTCTTCCCACTTGATTTCTTAGTGGGAAGAGAGCTACACGGACTCAAGTATGTCTAGTCAAGCACTGATAAAGGGAGAGTGCTGCTTAGAGCTCAGAACTAGAGTGAACAGGAGGCTGGGAAATGTGAGCAAACGAAAGCACTGTTTTATATGTTGAGTTCAGGGAAAGAGAACTATGTTTACATGCATTATAAAAATGCAAGATATGTTATTGCCTGCTTCTGTCATCTGTGTTGTTGGGACCTGAAGGTTCATGAGCTGTTTAGGTTTCAAGACAGAATATTGGAAGGGGACTTGGGAGCTTCAAATTCTGTTCCTAGATCATAGGAACATTCTGTTCATAACTTGTCTGTGACTCTGGGTATAATCAACCCTGATACTCTCTTTTCAAAGGAGCTTTGAGATTGACTAGTGAAAGCCAAGATGTAGATGGCAGCTATGACTGTTTCTATTCTGTTCTTTCCTTGTGCCCTGCATTTTCTTCCTACCGTTATGGCCTGATAGGGCTGCAAGTGTGCGAGGCAGGTGAGCTTCAGGGGTTGTGAAGACATTCATATCCCTTCTCCCTGCTTAAAGAAAAATAGAACCAAAGAGAAGTTTCATTGACGTATTGATTGTATCGATTCATTAATTTATAAAGCATTAATAGCATTAATTCATTATGTTCCTAGGTGTTTTGTTCTTTCATGATTGTCTCTGGAAGCAAAAGAGGCATTTTGGACTGGCAACAATGAGGAAAATAGGAATAGGGAAAAAAGCCCAGGAGTATCAACTACGAGAGGAGGCCTGTCACTTTGTGGAATACTTACAGACAACAAACGGTGTGACTCAGCATGCAGGTCAAAGGGTGATTCTGCTGAAGAATGGGTCACCTGTAGCTTTTGAAAGTACTTGACAACAAAAATTAACTTTATTTGAGTATCAAAGGTCTTTATCATATGGTCTGTATGAGACATTTCCTTGCAGAAGTGCTACATGTGAAACCCTAGATTATGAACTTAGAACTGAGGCTCCATGGTCCCTGTCTGTTAGTATTATTACTTCTTTAGTCAGTTTTACATTATTTATGGTCACAGAATTGGGGTAAGAGCAAACTAACAAAATAAGTGTCACAACACCCCATGTCCCTCTGCGGAAAATAAATACAAGACCCAAAGTATTAAAAGCTTTGCCCAAGACTGCACAACCTCTGGCTCTGCACAGACCAGTAGTCTTGCCTCTTTTATTTTTTACAGTGTTTTTTACATGTCTGAAGTTACTTTTTACTCATGCCTTTTAGCAGTAAATTGCAGTTTGCCACCCAGCAATATAATTAATGTCAGAAGTGTTTACAAATTGTCATCAGCTCTCCCTTCAGTGGAAAAAGCAGGAACAGTAAGTGTTAATGGTGAATGCTGTTCACTGTGTTTACAGGAAAACCTCTGGACCCCACTCTGGGTGTTCATGCTGTCTTAAATGTGATTTGTTCTGTGATTTTTTTTTGAGACATCACTTCTCTAATGATGGTGAAAATTTTGACCACTTGATTGAATCCATTGAAACTATAACAGTATTTGGGAACAGCATCTCTTTTTTTGTGAGGGAAATGAATTTTTGTTTGTTTTTATTTTATATAGATAGACAATGAAAAAGGAACTTGCTTGTTACTTTCATAACAAAAATAAATACTCGCACACCTGAAATTGCTGGAGTGTGCATCAGAACAGTACTTCTAGATGCCTAGTTCAAAACTTGTTTCAATTGCTTATGCTTCGTCATACCACAGAAATTTCCATGTCTGGTGAACAGGGATGGAAACATATATTGCTACTTGTCTGGGAGATGCACAAAGGACTTTCTCTGATGATACTATTTGGATGAGATAGTATCTCTGAATTCTTCTTACATTCCACTAACAATAAGGAATTTTAAAAGCTCCTTTGATTATAATGATGTCTACACAAATTTGGAGGTAGCAGAGAATATTAGAAAATATTTTTG